TATAAAAATAAACCTTCTACCCATGGAAAAAATCATATTATGGGATAACCCCATTTAACAATAGCCAGTAAATTCTGTTTTTGGAGGATAAACTGGTAATTTTATAATTACTTTAAACCAACTTGGTTGTCATAAAGGAGTTTCACATATTTTTTGTAGAGTTTAAAACTGAATTCAGTTTACCTCTAAGTGTGCTTGGAGAGTTTATTTAACTTAAGCATTATTTGGAATATTTGGTCCTGATGCTACTGATGCTTTTATGTTTCACATGAGTTCCAACTGTTGGAGGGATCCCTTGAGATATCCAGGCTATGAAAATATGTGTAGCCCCACTCCTCCTTGTATTTTGCATTAAGACCTTCCTATTCCATGACTTTGGTCCTGACTGACAGTGGGAGACCTCTGTATTAATGAGGATGCTGTTGATTTTCATTTTGTTTTGAATATACATTACCCAGAGTCTTGATTGGTTGGAGCGATTCACAGTTATTGCAAAAAATACCATTTGGAATAATGAGCTCAAATATTACATTCTTGTAAATCAGTGAAAGCTTTATCTTTTTTTTTTTATTTTAAAAAACAACAGAATTTTTTTTTATGTATACTGGAAATCTCCAAGAATGTTTAATAAGGATTGGTTAGACCACAATAAAAGGTTTAAAAGTAAAGGGTTGGCTGCAGTTACCACCATCTGGAGATGCAATTCACAAGTTGGAACATTAACTCGCACAGTCCGGGGTTGTCCTATTACTGTCACAATTTGGGCTCAAATCCACAGAACAGTTAACTCTGTGTGATATTCATAGAGTCATAAAGGAGCTATTTAGACCACTGAATCTAATCTCCTGTTCAGTACAGGAATCAAAATTAAAGCTTCTCCAAACGATGGCTGCCTACCTGTCACCTGAACATATCCTATAAAAGGGAGGCCACCTGGTTCTATTGTTAAACAGCTCTTACTGATTTCTTTTCCTAGCATTCAACTGCAATCTATTTTCCATCATTATTTTATGTCTTGCACTTTGGAATGATGGAGAATAGCTCTTGACCTTATTTGAAAAGTGCTTATTTGAAGAGTGTTATCATGCCATCCTCTCTTCTGAAAGCTAATTTGCCCAGCTCCTTCAAATTCTTTTCATGGGACATAATGTTTAATCCTCTGATCACCCTTATTGCTTTTTTCTAAACTAATTCCGGTTTGTCTGAGTTCTTCTTAGAGTGCGGTATTCAAAACTGAATACAATATTCAAGATGGGATCTGCCCCAGTGCACAATAAAGTGAATGATTACTTTTTCTGACCTGGAAACTATTGAGGCAGCCTCATATTGCATTTACCTTTTGTGCAGTCGCAACACATTGTGCTGATTCATATCCAACTTGCAATTAACTATGATTCCAAGTACAGCTATGACACAAGCATTGTCACCAAGCCATGCATCCCCCATACTACACTTGTACATCTGATTTATGATTCTTAAGTGAAGAACTTTTCTCTATTAAATTTCATTCTGAGTTTTTCATTCTCCAAACTCTCAAGATGTTTTTGAATTTCATTTCTGTTTTCTATTCCACCCAAGAAATAAGGAACTGCTGTTGAGTCTTCTTTGAGATAATTTTCAAGACATTTCCATTTACTTGTGATGCCATTCACAGATTACTAGCCTGCTAAAATGCCATGGGGTACTTTCTCAAATACTCATTTGAAATCAAGATATGTTATTAATATTATGTTCCCACAACATACTAAAGAAGTTAACCACTAAAAAAAATTGGCAAGATTTGTTCTTAACAAATCCATGCTGACTACTAGTAATTGCTGCCTTGTTTTCACAGGGCTTACGAAGTAATCCTTTTATGATCTCTTATAGAATCTTCCTGGGTATTGCTGTCTGACTGAATGATTTGTAATTCCCTGGATCCACCTTCCCCCTCCCCCCAACACCATGTTTGCAGACTAGGGCAATATTTACATTCCTCCAAAAATCTAGCACTTCATTGGCTCTCCAGAATGTTCATAGATAAGATATAAAGGTTCAGCCAGACCATTACCAATTTATTTCAGTATTCTAGTATGCAATTAATTTGGCCCTGGAAACTTAAACCCATTCAGAATATACAGCGATTCCCTGACCATGTTTATATTAATCTTAAGCATCAATCCTGTCCATTTATCTAGCTCTTCACAACTGCATGGTGGAAAAGATACCCTTCTGTTGAAGAAGTACTAAAGCAACCATTCTCAATCTTTCTATCCTGGAGGAGCCCTTGAAATAATTTTCAGGTCTCAGGGAATCCTTGCATAAAAATTGCAAGAATATGAAAAGTTCACAATACAATTCACTTTTAACCTACACAATCCAGTTTTACAACAACAGCAAAGAGGCAGGCCTGCAGCTAAATCATGGTGCATGAACATTTCCATCACTGTGAGTAGTAGCATTGTGTGGTGCCCAAAGTTAAACAAAATGTTTATTTTTTTTTCCAGTCATGATCTGTTCTGGAACCCCTAGTGACTTCTCAGGAAATCCCAGGGTTCTGTGGAACCCCAGCTGAAAATGGCTGTACTAGACAAACAATGTTGTCTATTAGTACTCCCCATTTTGTTGTTGGTCCATATTAGCATTTCTCTGTCTCGAGAAACAACTAATGCATCCTGCTTCATTCCCTATTGGTTAGCACCCCAAAGTTTAAAGCCCTCCTAAGTTTGCCATGTTTTGACCATACACATTTAAAACTGTTCTTGTGGAATGCAGAGTTCCCATACCAGTAGTCCATCATTCAAATAACTCAGATCTAGGTCTCAGAAATCAAATTTCTCCTGTTGTCACCAGTTGTATAGCCAGTGATACACTTTCTCTTTCTCCTCTCAGTCCTCTTCCAGGGACTGGAAAGACGGATGAGAATACTGCCTCTTCAAAGCTTCCATCCTAAATTTTCAAAGTCCACAGTGGCATAGCTGTTATTTACATATTTGTCTCCATGTGGATTAACAGAAAGAGAAACTGATCAATGAAAGTTGTTCTGTCAAATCTCTGTGCCTGGCTCCTGGCAAACAAGCACACTTCACAAGGCAATGGGTCCTGCTTGCACTCTTTAGTAATGAGTAACAATTACCATAACTCTTCCCCTTATATTCTTGTAGTGTGCAGGTTCAACCTCTCTGCTCTGCAGGGATCTGGTCAAACTCTCTGGCTCAAATTTGGCAGAAGTTACCCAACACCCAATAGATTTCTTTATTGCATGGTACAATGAAATTATTTAAAACAGCTGATTGCCCCTTGTCAACATGAGAGTACAGTTCCCTCTTGTACCTACTAGAGTTTCCCACCTTTTCTATGGCTTAACGGATATCTTGCTTTGCAGTTCTCAGCCTTGGTGCTAGTTGATTGTTGAGGTAACTGGCATTTCTGTCTTAGATCCATTATTTGTTCTGTTCTGCAGTGTCTCGCTTTCTTCCACGGAAGATTCAGATCCTGTCTATTCTGTTAGGGCCTCAAAGCTGTTTTCAAATTTCAATGACATAGAATATTCTCTAAATGGAGAATATCATAAAATGACTACTCTTCTGGTAGTCATTTTATCTACTGGGCTGGCTCCTTTGACTTGATTCTCTTCCTATGGAAAGTTGCTTTTCAGTTTTTGTTATAGTGGCTCTTTTCTTTGATATGCTAAATCTTATCTTCTCTTATCAGCTAAAATGTGGCCTCTCACTGCTCCAGTCATTTGACCTTTTCTACAAGGACTGCTAAAAGTTTTCCCTTGCTGCAATACATGCCAGATTGTTCTCAGACAGGAATACAAACAGGCCACAAGCACTGCAGAACTCCTGTTTTGTCTTCATTTTTCTTCCTTAAGATACAGATAGTCCTTGTTTAAGGGCTGCCTCATTTAGGAACCATTCACAGTTATGACACTGATGAAAAAGTAACTTTATGACCAATCCTTGAAGTTATGACCTTTGCAGGTCCGTAAAGCAAAGGAAAGCTGAAGTAAGATCATAAGCATAGTCGTGGTTTCACTTAGCATTCATTTTACTTGATAACCGGATTACTAGTCCCAACTGTGGTTGCTAAATGAGGACTACCTATACCATGAATAGAAAACGTTTATGTTTTCTTGTTCTGTTCTGAGATTAGTCAAGGACACAATGTTCATTTATACAGAAAATTTCATAAGGATTCCTGTGCAAATTTCACTGGAAACTCCTGGCTTGCTCTTGCTCAATGAACTTACTCCCTGAAACATGGGTGCCTTATATTCCTCCTACAGACTTTGCTTACCCAGCAGGAAGCAATCACTTGATTATTTATTAAATGTGTGTGCCACCTCACTCCCAAAAACCCTGGTGGCTACCCACAACAGGCAATTAGTAGCTCTCAGTACAGTAAACCCCCTTACTGTCAGCAGCTATTCAGGAGACAACTCTTTCCTTTCTCACATCTGACATACAGTCTCTCAGGACATATAGCTTCTCTGGTCGCTCTCCTCACTTGTTCTTTCTCCTTTGAACTCCACTGGCAGGTTTGTTCTCTGTTTGCTCATTGAGTTTTAACTTAATCTTTGTGTGTTGAGCATGCAGATATTTTTCCCCAGTATTTGGAATTGATCATGATATCAACAACTGTAGATTTCTCATGTATGGGATACAGCTAACATTATTGCTGCTGTTGTTCTTACAATGAAAGGATACAGCTACACCCACTTTTCAGCAATGGATTTATGATTTGTTATTTGTCAACAGTTGAATTAGTTTTTTTTTAAGGAACAAAGAAGTAGATATTTGAGCAAGTTGCTTTGTTTTTGATATACATTCCAAAGTTTTTAATTTTCTTTTTTTCCTTTAATTTTAATTATATCACACTATTAATAAAATTACATGTATATGTATTTTTTCTATTAGTAATTTTTGATATAATAAAGTAATGTTAAAATTATCTGCAAAGCCAGTAAAGACAGATATGCTTCATCAAAGAGCATACAGTTCCTCATTTATACTCACACTGTACATTGAGTTGCACCAGGGCTTCTCGGGGTCTAATGTTGAAGCCATTGTATCTGGCTGTCTGGCATTTGTAAATCCCACTCATTTTTTGAGTCACCTTTTCAAAATGCAGTTTCCCATCGTTGGTCTCCACTGTCATGGTACCTGAAGGCATAGGAGCCTCTTTATCAACTCTAGACCAGATGATGGGAGGTTTGGGTTTCCCTCGGACTTCACACTGTAAGTCTGCTTTCGAATCTTCACGGACAGTAATGATGGATTGACCCTTGGGCACCATGATGGTTGGAGGGACTAATGGGAAAAAGATGACAAGAAAGAACAATTATTCAACAGCAATGTTTGATTAGATCATTGGAGTGGTATGTGTGTGTAAAGGATTACTGAAGTTGAAGTCAAGGCATATTTAATTCTGTGACCTTGATATATTAAATAATGCTGATCCAGTCCATGCACCATAAGTACTTATTCCATATACTTCTATGGAATTTGGCTTCTGCCTGTCATAGGAAAAAAGCCTTCCTCATTCTGTTATTCCAATCTTCAGAAATGAGGAAAAAGAACCCAACTAACTACAGATCATTCAGATCACATTGACATTTCGCAAAACTCTGGAACAGATTATTAAGCAGTCAATTAGAAAAGAATGTATTGCTTGGCAAAACCAACATGAGTTTAGCAAGAAGAAATCACAACAAACCAATGTGATGTTTTTTGACAGAGTGACTAGTTTAGTTAACTCTGAAAATCCAGTAGACAGAGTGTACCTTGACTTCAGCAAACATTCAACAATATTTTTCATGAGATTCTAGTATGGAAAATCAGAAAACATGGGCTAGAATACGGTACTGTTAGATGGATACAGAGCTGGTCGAACAATTGTATCCATAAGGGTATGTCAATGGCTTAGCAAATTAACAAATATGATTATCAAATTTGAGGATAACATAAAGATGGGGGAGAGAGCAAATAGCTCAGAAAGTGGCATCAAGATTCGGGAGGATCTTGACCTGCTGGGAAAATGGGCAGAAATAATCAGTAAGATGGATTTCACCAGAGAAATGCAAAGTATACATTTGGGTAAGGAAATTCAAAGGGATGAGCATAGGATGAAATGCAGGACCACAATGGGCAGCAAAAAGGATTTGATATCTCACAAGTTCAAATGCAGCTGCCAAAAAAAAAAAAAAAAAGTCCTAGGCTACATTAGCAGAAATAATAGTGTAAAGATCAAAAGAAATCATTCTTCCTCTCTATTCCACTTGGACCACTAGACTATTGTGTCCGGTTGTGGACCCTACATTTTAGGAAAACATGAATAAATTGGAGCAGTTCCAAGGAAGAACAACCAGGATGATAAGAGCCATGGA